GTCGTCGTCGTCGTCGTCGTCGTCGTCATCGTCGTCGTCGTCGTCGTCGTCGTCGTCGTCTTGTTCCTCGTCCTCCTCCTCTTCCTCTTCCTCCTCGCCCATGTCCTCCAAGGACCGGGTGCCGGACATGTTACGGCCGAAAGTGCCGTTCCCTTCCGTGCTCCCAAGTGCGCCAGTGGGGAGGGCTTCGTTTCCTTGACCACGTCGGCGAGGCCTCCCGGCTTTAAATTTTTGGAGTACCTTGGCCTTCTCGCTCTCCGAGATAGTGTAGGCTTCCTTGAACCTATCTACCGTCGTACCCGCCGCCACAAGTATGTCCTCCCGGTGGCATCTTGTGACGTGCTCGGACATGCCATACTTCCAGATGTAGGTGTCCTGGGAGCAGAAGAGGCACTTCAAGACCATGTTGGTGCACGGTGAGGTATCTGAGCCCGCCTTCGCACTACCCAGGTTCAGAGCTACGGCTTCCTGGCGTGCGTCGCTCCGAGGCGCTGATCGACAGGTCGAGTGCACCAGGGGCCTGGCCTTGCCTGGTGGATCATGGATGGTGCTGCGGCACCCGACCTCACCACAGAAGCCACAGACAGTGCTCACTTGCAAAGCCTACAACAAAAAGGGAGAGAGGATGGATCGTGAGCGTGCCGCTGACATTTCCACGCCGGATTGAAATATGCGGCATGAGTCCACGCGCGTCCGGTAAGCACCGTTGCCCAACATCTCGCGAAATAATAACACAGGAGACAGGGTGAAGCAGGCCACGCAGGTGAAGTCTATACGATGCTAATGAAAAATAACGAAGCCATGCACGTATCAAAACAGCATTGCACACTACAGCAGTATCAAAACAGGTTAAATCTCACCCGGTCTTGCATTCCCATGCCAAAAAAAATAAAGAACACCCGCACCTTGTCCTTCAAAATGTGACCTCCCACGTGCAGTCTCATTTTCGATCGTTGAACTTCTCTCGTGCAGAGTTTGCAGCAGATCTTCTCGGAGCCCAATCCCCCCGACGGGGCCACGCCCAATGCGCCAGCCTGAACATGAAACAGGTCCTCGTGGAGTGGTAAGGGATTGGCGTCTACGCCAGACGTTTTCTGCGCGGGAAGGTGTCGCCAAGCGCTCAGAGCGTCGACCTCGTCCACGAGAATATCTTTCACGGCGGTGAGGTCGGCAAGTTCAAATCGAAACGAGGTTCGGTCCACACTCTTCTCGATCTCCACTTGCTCCTGCACCATCGGCCCCTCGCGGAGGACAGTGCGTGTCACGGTCTCTTTGACCACGACAGGCGTCACGACTACGTCGGGATCCAACGGCAAGACGAGGCGACACTTGCACGATAGCTCCCCTTTGTGGAGTCCCAGTTCTCCCCAGTGTTGCCACGAGCCCGTAGCTGGCGTACCGTCCTCACCGATATCTGAAGAGGGAGTTCCGTCGCCCTCTTCCAGCCGATCTGCAGCAATTGCAGGCGCCACACTGGACCATTGCAGCTTCATCAATCTACCCTTGACAACAGCCCCATCTTGCGCCTGCTCCTCCGATGGGGCCTTCGTGCAAGAGAACAAGCCCAGGGCGTACTGGGCTGGGCTCCTTCCCGGGGTCGCCACCAACATAGCAAACGGGTCCCCTACAACAATTCCTCGCGAATCGGTGTTGTCAATGCCGGCTGGCCTCCCCCCCCCTCTTTCCGACACCGCGTGAGCCGGTACTAGATCCCGATGGCCCCGCCGTGTAGGCTCCTACGCGCTTCAGCCGGTCTTTCGACGCATTCCGGAACTCTGTGCCCATGAACTCCGTCAAAGCTCGCTGCTTGTGAATCTGCTTACCATCGACCTCGCAGAAGGACGATATCTTGCCAGGCCCATTTTCGGTGGCGTGAAGGAAGGAATCTAGCTCAACCCCCGCCAGGAGTCCAGGCTCCTCCGTGGCTACGGGTGCGCGCTGCTCTCCTTCATCTGCGTCGTCCCCGTCCTCAGAACCCTCCTCACTGACCGGGGCATCAGTCGTTCCTTGTGCCCGGGCATCAGTCGTTCCTTGTGCCCGAATGCCCGGAAACCCTCCACCCGGTCTTCCACACAAACGAGACCAGCGCATTCGGGACAGCCAGATATGCAACCGCAGCATGCGTTATGTTATGAGATTTTAGCACACGTGATAACTTTCCAATGAAGCACAGCGGTTTGACATGGAAACAAACTTGTGGCTGCTTTCAGTGCACACTGACAGCGTTATATGACATTCCCGCTCTTTCGGCATGCTACGGTTATCACAAGCACCGAGCCAAGCACCGAACCTTTTTCGTCTTCTTGTGCTAAGAGATCACGCAATCATAAGAATACTTCCACCTCTTGGCTTACCCGAAAGGCAAGAGCGTCGTGACGCCAGCCTTCTGCAGGTCTGAGATGGTGCCCCCGTTGATCGAACCCTTGAAGGAAGGGTGCCCCCGCAGTATGTCGTATCCGCGCCAACGGGACCCCCCTCCTCCGTGGAGCACGATGGTGCAGCCCCCGCGGGTGCCACGGGCGTCGATCCCACCGCCGCCGGCGCCACCGCCGCCGGCGCAGCAGCCGGGTGTATTACAGGGGGCGCACATTGCGCAAAGGACAGCAAAGAAGTCTGCCTGCTCTTGCCTCCACTCGCAGTTCCTTTTCTGATAGCAACCCACCAAACCATAGGTTGCCGGAGGATGACGCACGGGGGAGCATGAAGCAGCGCTTGTGTCAGCTGTCATCATCTAGAGCCCTTGCCTGCACGACCTTTATCGCAATATACCAATAGCCCAGCCAAGCACA